TAATGATGTTGATGCCGAGGAGACAGAAACAATAATGATGGTGATGACGAGGATAATGATGGTGTGGATGAAAATAATGATGTTATTTATGACGATAATGATAGTGATGATGAGAATAAAGATGGAGATGATGACGACAATGATGTTGATGACGAGGATAATGATGATGATGAAGATAATTAGGGTGGCTATGATGATGATGATGATAATGATGATGATGTTGATGATGAAAAGGAAGATAATGATAGTGATGATGGGTACGATGATGGTGACGATGAGGATATAGGTGATGAGGATGAAGATAATGATTAAAAGGATGAGGATAATGATAGTAATGAGGATAATGAAGGAGATGGTGATGATGATGATGAAGAAGATGATGATGATGATGAAAAGGAGGATAATGAAATTGATGAGGATAATGATGGTGGATAATAATGGTGATGATGAGGATAATAATGTTGATGATGGAGATATTGATGTTGATGATAAGGATAATGATATATATTTATAAGGAAAATTATCACCAATACGAAAACTTACACCTTTCTTCTTTCAACCAGATATTTCGAAGAATTCTCTGTCCAACGTCAGTGCTAAAGAAATTAACTCATATAAGACCAATTAAGGCTGATAAAATAAACAACAAATATTATTAGGATTTAATACACACTATTTTTACATAAAATAATTGAGAAAAATGAAGGATTGATATACAAAATTCAAAGGATAGAGATTTAAACCATATACTACAATTATAACACTAACACTTTAATGAGGATAATTAGACAAGAAAATATTAACATAATTACCAAAAATATCAAGAAAATTGTACTAACGACTGTTTAACCATAGATCAAACCACAAAGGCCCACTTACGCATGGCAAAGGGAGAACTGTTGTTTAGGATGGGTTTACCATTAGAAGTATAAAGGGACTGCAGGATTACAAAGCTCGTCCTGGAAGATATAGATGATAGTACTTTTAAATCCTGAATGGTGAAGGCATGGCTACTAGGTGGACCCAATATATCTAGTGTGACAGTGAGGACATGTATAACAGTACACAACCTACCCTAACCTATCCTAACCTAACCTATCTGTAAGGGCGGAAACGATCTTCCTGCTCGTTACCGCTGCTTGCTCTCTCGAAGGCTGGTGCGACCAATACATGGGGGGGTTGGACAGAGGTGAGAACGGCAGCGGCTACCTTTTGTTTTTGTTATTTAGGTTAAGGTGGGGAAAGGATGGAAGGCATGCTGGGGCTCAAGGCACAGCCAGACATGAGGGATGGAGAAGTCACAACATATAGTCGTGGGGGAAAAGGTTGGAAAAGAAGTTTAATGAGTTAAACAGAGGGGGACGACACCCCTTGTTTTACATATGACAGAGTTTGTTGGCTAACTAAGCTAACCTAGGATTTAGAATGAGGTTGCACAATGGTTATTTTCGTAGACAATGACTAGATTGATTTTACAATTACAAGTTTATTAACATCTTATACTGTATTACGTTATGGACTCACTTGATTGTGACATGTTAAATGTGAATTCATATCATCTAAGTTTTAATCTAAGGTGGATCACTGTGGCGGACATAGATGGATCGCGGATTGGGTTGTTGTAGTGCGGGCAGACTCCGGGGCCACCAGGCGTGGGGTCTCCCTCCGTTGATGTCTTCCCCGCGTAGGTGGTCTGGGCTGTGAGGGTCGTCCAGGAGCTTGTCCCAAACCTTCTTCCCTTGGCGATGGAACCTGAAGTTGAGGGCTTCTGTTTTGTTTCTTAGGTGGATAGTTTCCATTGTCTCCTGGTAGGGTGGCGCTTGGCCACTGGCTGACCTCAAACACTTGTTTTGGAAGCTCTGTAGTTGTTGTAGTCTAGTCTTCCCGAGTGTGACGAGTGGTATAGATGGGTACTCCAACACAGGCCTCACCAGCGCCTTGTACAGGTGAACTTGTATCTTCTCAGGCATTAGTCTGTCCTTCACGTGGGGAATGATGCCTGTCCGAGAAATGATGAAGCCGAGCAACCTGCCTTGTTTAGAGTACTCAATCTCTACGTCGTCGATCGTCATTGGGGCCGGCTTGAATTTGGCTATGGGTATGACCTCAAATTTCGTTTTGTTAGTTTTTATTTTCCATTTATTTTCATACTCCGAGATCTCCTCTATTGCCCGAGCAGTGAGTCGCGCCAACCTTGCTGTGGACCTTCCTGGACAGGTGACGATCTGTGTTACATCGTCGGCATACATGAAGTACTCGATGCCGACGATTGAGGGTGGCAGGTCAGCCGTGTAGAGTATGTAAAGGGTTGGTGAGAGACAAGAGCCCTGAGGCACGCCGCTCGATAGTGAGAATTCTTCTCCAAAGTGTTCTTGCATCTTGATTTTGGCTCTGCGGTCCATAATGAAGTTGCACAGCAGGCGCGTCATATTTTCGGGTAGCCCCAGTTGTATGATCTTATACTGCAGCCCCGCGTGCCAAACTTTGTCAAACGCCTTGCTGACGTCCCTCAGTACTACAGTATATTGCACTGCAGGCGGCCAGTCATGGCAGTGGCGATCTGCTCGTAGGCCTGAGCTATGGCGGTGGATGTGCCTTTGTACTGGCGGAAGCCGAACTGGCGGGGATTATGCACGTCTTCGTCCTACAGATACATCCGCAATCGCTTGTTGACTATTTTTTCGAGGGTTTTGGCAGGTATCTCTAGCAGCGATATTGGTCGAAAGTTTTCGACTTTGCTTGGAGGCTTCCCTGCTTTTGGTATGAGGCGAATAACGGCGATTTTGAACATCTTAGGGAAGTATCCAGAGACGAGGCAGGCGTTGCATATATGAGCAAGCCTCTCTATCATGTTGTCGGGGAGTTGGGCCAGGATCTTCTTGTTAATGTGACTTTGACCAGGTGATTTGTTTTTAAACCCTTTTATGACGGCTGACACATCTGCAGGAACTATGCGCTCCGTCAGGTAGCTTCCGTCCACCAGTCTAGTGAAGTCAGTCCGTGGGAGCGGCTGGAGCAGGTGCTGATGGTCCTGCAACTGACCTAAAATGTCCTCCTCAAACTCCCTGTCGAAGCCCTAGCTACCCCACTGCTCGTCAAATTCTGGCTGTGATCTCATCATAGGTCCTGGACTCGTGGGCCGTTTTCCCAGACCTTCACCTATCAACTGTCAATTCTCTGGACATCAACTACTACAGCTGCCGCCACGACCGCCAGGTCCTCTCCACCGTCTGTGCCCCGGTGTTTCGTCTGCTGTATCAAGACATCGGCTGCTGTCGCTCGAGTGAGGAGTTGAACGGACGCTTCCTCCCCCCCCCCCTCCAAGAGCGGATCACTGTGTTCCAGAACCTTCCCCAGGGCCACTGCCGAAAGAAATATCTGTTCATTGTTTGATTCTATTGTTTGATTCCTTTAATTGCTGACTCCCATTAATTGTTTGCTTCCTTTAATTGTTTGCTTCCCTTAATTGTTTGACTCCATTAACTGTTTACTGCATTAATTCTTTGACTCCCGTAATTGTTACTTGATGTTTATTGAGTGGTGTCAGAGTCTTGTGTTATATTTTTATAGTAAAGAGATCACAAACGGTTGTTTGTTATTCCTCGACAACCATGGTCCTTGACTTTCCTTTATTAAGATCCTCATTAGTCTGGTAAGGGATTTCCATCCCTAAGTCCCAGGCCTTTACACTATACTAACCTAACCTATCCTAACATAATCAAATTCATATATATTATTGGTATTTTATAATAGTCAGTGCTTCTTATATGAAACAAAGCATATTTACCATTAGATTATAACACTAAAACCGAAAAGTTATTACTATTTAACAAAAACGTGAAGTACATTGACGTCTTAATCACGCAACTATACCTATACACAATGCATATTGCTCATTTTGTGTGGCATTTCAAATAAATTAGAATAAATGATAAACTAGGAAGATCCTTTGTCGCCTGGGTAAAATAATGAAGTTTTAAGAAACCTATATCACATCTTGAAGTTTTTTACCTACGCTCACTTGATGGCGAAGCCTGAGATAAGACACGCGCTATTCTACAATAGCCGGCTAATGCTTCATCTCTTTACTTATGTTCATATTGGAAGAAAGCTTCAGGAATTAATGATACATGGACTACAGACACAAGATTTATGTTAAATGATAACACAACAAACTTTGTTTGTTTGTTTTTTCAAACTATTGTGAAATTTTACTTTTGGGGGGAAGAGAAGGAGACGATAGACTTTTCTAACTCCTGTTTCGGCGAATGTAGTCAATATATTATGACTTCACCAGCTTATGATAATTAATACGAAGTTTTAGTCGATAAATATCCTCTGCTGATTTGATTAATTCATTAGGAATGCGAAAATCAAGATTTGAGTGTACAGAATAGAGGATATGTTATTTTCTACGATGAAATAGTAAAATGATGTTCACGTTAACCACATGCAAATTAACAACGTTTCCTTAAAAGCATTAAATGTGTACGACAAAAGTATTATAATTACTTTGAAAAACCCTAAATATTTTCAGCTACAGGAAATGCCTTTCTAAATCCCACTATTAATTGACTGATTCACTCACTCACTCCCTGAAAGATTTCTTCACTTCGCTTTTACACAGCTGATGACCAATTCATAATCACTCAAGACATATATTGTACTATTCAAAGATGACCTAGAATCAAGAATCTTTAGGCTGTGTTAGTGAGTGTTTGACTTAAAAGCTGCAGTGAAGAACACATAACGTAGGTGGGGCGAGGTAGCTAGAGAAATTTTCTCCAATTGCCAAATATCAGGTAAGGCGTTCATTGACCTAGCTCCGCAAAGTGAAAAAATAAAATATCATGAAAGCCTCCCAACAAGAGAAGGATTAGCACGGGTCATTGCTGGCGCTGAAAGACGGGGTGAAATCCGGATCAGTCAGTGGCGCGACACAAGATAACGGGCAAGAAGAGCAAGGACGACCGCCATCATGCCTGAGAATCTGGTATATAAGAGGTGAACAGCACACACATCCACCACACCACCTCCGGCCACCACACCGTCTTCACCCTCACGCCCACCACACCATGGCGCCCTGGACTAGCTTGGTATGTCCACCACAACCCTGACTGACTGTTGCGCTGATTCTTGCAATTACTAGCAGATGGCGATAAAAGAGATCTTAAACCTTTAATTTAAATAAATATAAACACTTACTCGCTCGTCTAGGTTATGTGACCCTGAAAGACCCCCGTCATTCTCGTCAAGCCTTTGGGTGTCTCACTCTTGTTGTTGGTAAGACAACTCCATCCAGCACATAGGTTGACGGCCACGTCTTCTTACGTTTATGTTTAAGTTAATGTCTTCTAAACGTATTCCTTCATTTTCTCCCTCCCCTCCACCATGGCTGGATGCCCTGCCAATCCCACAACCAGTGCATTCCTCGGGATCTTCACTCTTTGCTAGATGTCACACCATTAAACAACGTGATTTTCTAACTTCCTGAATACATTTATTTAATCTCTTGAGTATAACTTTTATGAATATTTTGTTTGGGGTTGCACGTACTTTAATGCTGCTATACGATAATTTAATATTTCCATGTTCATAATAATATTTGTTTGTGGTTAGTTTCACTAGCAAGCACAGTTTTCTAACGAGTTCTCCTTACTGTTATATTACCTCTTCCTGATGCCTAAATATTTTTCGGACTCTATACCCTTACTATCTACATTTACGCTTTAATACACCTCTTTACCGAGGCTTCAAGTTGTGAACTATTTGATAAATCACAAAACTTCTCTCTAGTAGTTATACACGGGCTCTTTAGTTTTTATCTCGATGTTTCATCTCTATGTTTTCGTCGTTGACCTTGATGATTTCCAATTAGACATTAGGTTGTCCGAAGGTTTGGTTGGTTTAAATTTATTTCTTGATCTTTAAGCCTTTATATAGTTGTTGTCTTCGTTCTTATAGATGCAGAACATTTTGTAATATTCAGCTTGACAGTAATCTGTATAGCTACAAGATTTTAATCTGTATAACAGTTACTTCGTCTATTGGAGCAAATATTGTTTTCTGAATTTATAATTAATTAGAACATATTCAGTGTTGGTATTTGTACGTCAATCAGTGTCTGCATCTGAATGCTGATAAAATGTCATCAACAATAATTGTTTTTGCTCTTATTCGTTTCATTGCTTTAATAACAGGGGCAGATAAGACTTTTCTCATTTATAATCCTGATGCAGATTCTTATTAAAATAAGTTCAAAACAAAGCTTTAACGAAATAAATGCCTATCGAGGTTCTAGAATTTCAATAAGTTCACCGACAGATTAAACAAAATGAAACTTCCAGGAATAGATATGGCTCACCGTGATCACAACAGATATAAAATGCAATATTCATTATTTAGTCTCCTCTCACTTTATATATGCATTATCTTTTATGAACAGAATATGATTAATATCAATCTCCGTTGCAGGCGCTGTTGTCCGCACTAGCGGTTAGCACGCTTAGTTCGCCTCGGCCCGACGAAAGTGCTTACAAAATTCCGCATGTGGGCACTGGACGACGTTCCCAGTACTATGTTCAACACGCGGATGGAACCTTCAAGTACGGCTATGACACAGGTGAGGGAGCCTTCGAGGGTGCTCGTTCATCCAGGGTTGGTCAGGTAGATGGAAACTTCGGCTACAGGGACCCTGAAGGCAACAATATTCACCTCCAGTATGTAGCTGATGAGGGTGGATTCCAGCCCAAGGGTGCCCATCTCCCTGTCCCGCATCCTGACTTTGCTCTTGCCCACGCTGAGGCTCGTGCTCGCCCTTCATTCACCGACCCCCTTGCTGATCCAAACGCCGATGCCTCATATGGCTTCCAGTTCGCTGGAGAAGGTCAGACACGTAGCGAACAAAGTGATTCAGACGGTAATGTGCGTGGCTCTTACACTTACACTGACGAAGAAGGTCGCACACGAACCTACACTTACACAGCCGGTCGTGGCACTGGTTTTGTTGTCGAGGGTGACGATCTACCGCAGGCACCAGAAGATCCTGCGTCCACTCCAGCAGCGACCAGACTCTCCTCTTTTCCTGCAGCATTCCCTTCTTCTAGTTTGCGACCTACTTCTCCAGCATCCTCTGCCTCCTTCAGAGCATCTACAGCTTCAGGAGCTCCATCTCGTCCCTTCAGCACACCTTCAGGCACCCCAGCTGGGCCCGTGTCTTTCCAAAGAAGTACTGGAAGCTCAGATCCTTCTTATTCTTTTTCCTTCGACGCTGGTGATCACTCACGTTCTGAGTCTGCTGACGCTAACCTCAATGTTGATGGAAAATTTTCTTTCGTGGCTGACGACGGTGTCAGACGCAGTGTCACTTACGAAGCTGGAAGTGACACGGGATTCCTGGCTCGAGGCGATCACCTTCCACGAGCACCACAGTCACACTCCGGGTCTCAAACTACATCATCTGCATTTTCATCATCACAAACCCCTTACCGCAGTCCATCAGCGTCCCTACCTTCTTCCGTCTCTAGCACCCCAACTTTCTCTCGCTCACCATCTGCTCCACGTCTTCCCGGCTTCACAAGCTCACAAACTCAGTACAGCTCCCCGTCCTCACGTCCCTCAGCACGCCCATACACAGGTCAGTTCGAACCTGCCAATACTCGCAGCCAACAGTCACCTGACGGAAGTTATTCATTTGCTTACGAAACGTCCAGTCACTCACGAGCAGAATCAGGTGACAGAGACAACAACGTGGTGGGAAACTTCGACTTTGTTGCTGATGATGGACAGCGACGAGCTATTGAATATGAAGCTGGGTCCCGTACAGGATTTATTGCTAAGGGTGATCACATTCCTGTAGGACCCGCGGTTCCAGGAGCACCCTCCGGTCAACCAACAGGTAGAATCGTCCCTGTTCAAGAGGTCCCCTTCGTCGACCCTCTCGCTGACTCCAACGCTGATGCCTCCTATAACTTCGCCTTTGACTCGGAGCAATATTCACGCTCAGAGAGCGCAGACGCCGACGGCAATGTCCGTGGCACTTACACAGTGGTAGACGATGACGGCACTCGACGCACTCACCGATTCCGGGCAGGTGAGGGCATCGGCTTTGAAACTGAGGAAGTGTCAACTTCACGTGGTCCTCCTCCATCTCGCTCTCCATCATCTGCCACCTTCCGCAGCCCAGCGGCCCCCGGCACAGCGGTGTCATCTTCTACTTCCTTCACTGCACAACCTCAAGGCAGTTTCCCGTCTCCCTCCACTAGAACTGCCTCAACAAGGTCCTCATCATCTTCCTTCTCGCCATCGGCAACAGGCACCAGGCCGGACGCCTCTAACTTCCAGCTTCGCCAGTACGATGCCTCAGAGAACCGTGGTAAATATGGTTATGTACTGACATTTGACAATTAACTAAAACAATACAAAAGGCTTACCGCTGCTTCTTCTGATTTAAGAAGAAATTTGTGAAAACATCTCACACTTAAAACAAGTTAATTACAAACTGTTATCTGCCAATGCCTATAAAGTTATATCTGTACATATATATATTTACGAATGAACAAGTTGCATTACAAAAAATACAAAAAAATATGGACTACGAGGTATAATGTCATACTTCATGTAACATTTGTTGTCCCTTTAATCGCGCAGTAAAAATCTATAAAAATAAATGTTTATATGTGCATTACTGTCCCCCAAAAATTATGAATTATCAGAGGCAGTAAACATGCCTGTTTGAGGTCCTGTCAGGGTAGACCAGCTTAGGACCATGGCAGTAAGTGTGGATATGAGTCTCCCCTTTTATCTTCTAAATGCCACATTATGTCTAAGAATTAAAATATAATAAAGAGGTAAACACCTTATACATTTTTACTCTATCCTTTACTTATAAAAAAAACTAATTTACTTCGTATTTGAGGAGTCTGAGAACAAAGGCAGTCATATTACTTGAATTTGTATATTTACAGCAAACAGCTCAAACAATTTCTTTATCTCACTGTAAGGCGAAGGCTGCTTGAATAAACTTTATTTTATCTACTTTATAATCTTTGTAATCTTGCATAAATCCAGCCCACTTATGCAGACTGTGATACCAATAATGATAAAAGATTAGCGTGCATCACACTCCTGTCACTTAACCCCGTCTCGTCGTGCGTTGTTCTCAGTTAACAAGTCATCGTGGTATATGATAACTGTTAACCCTCCAGTGCGATGACCTGTTTCCTAGAATATATGATATTGCGCTAAGGCATTATTGTCATCGTAGTCAAGAGGTTAAGTTATCGTTCTCAAAGCGTTAAGTCATCTAACTGATGCGATTAAAATATCATACTGGAGATGTTACTTATCGCACTGAAGGGATAAAGTCATTGCGGTCACGGCGTTAAGTCATCATACTACAGGAGATAGGTCATCATACTGAAGAGGTTAAGTCTTCGTACGACAGGAGATAGGTCATCATACTGAAGAGGTTAAGTCTTCGTACTACAGGAGATAGGTCATCATGCTGAAGAGGTTAAGTCATCATACTACAGGAGATAGGTCATCATACTGAAGAGGTTAAGTCATCATACTACAGGAGATATGTCATCATACTGAAGAGGTTAAGTCTTCGTACTACAGGAGATAGGTCATCATACTGAAGAGGTTAAGTCATCATACTACAGGAGATAGGTCATCATACTGAAGAGGTTAAGTCTTCGTACTACAGGAGATAGGTCATCATACTGAAGAGGTTAAGTCTTCGTTACTACAGGAGATAGGTCATCATACTGAAGAGGTTAAGTCATCATACTACAGGAGATAGGTCATCATACCGAAGAGGTTAAGTCTTAGTACTACAGGAGATAGGTCATCATACTGAAGAGGTTAAGTCATCATACTACAGGAGATAGGTCATCATACTGAAGAGGTTAAGTCTTCGTACTACAGGAGATAGGTCATCATCCTGAAGAGGTTAAGTCTTCGTACTACAGGAGATAGGTCATCATACTGAAGAGGTTAAGTCATCATACTACAGGAGATAGGTCATCATACCGAAGAGATTAAGTCTTAGTACTACAGGAGATAGGTCATCATACCGAAGAGGTTAAGTCTTCGTACTACAGGAGATAGGTCATCATACTGAAGAGGTTAAGTCTTCATACTACAGGAGATAGGTCATCATACTGAAGAGGTTAAGTCTTCGTACTACAGGAGATAGGTCATCATCCTGAAGAGGTTAAGTCTTCGTACTACAGGAGATAGGTCATCATACTGAAGAGGTTAAGTCATCATACTACAGGAGATAGGTCATCATACCGAAGAGATTAAGTCTTAGTACTACAGGAGATAGGTCATCATACCGAAGAGGTTAAGTCTTCGTACTACCGGAGATAGGTCATCATACTGAAGAGGTTAAGTCTTCATACTACAGGAGATAGGTCATCATACTGAAGAGGTTAAGTCTTCGTACTACAGGAGATAGGTCATCATACTGAAGAGGTTAAGTCATCATACTACAGGAGATAGGTCATCATACTGAAGAGGTTAAGACTTTGTACTACAGGAGATAGGTCATCATGCTGAAGAGGTTAAGTCTTCGTACTACAGGAGATAGGTCATCATACTGAAGAGGTTAAGACTTTGTACTACAGGAGATAGGTCATCATGCTGAAGAGGTTAAGTCTTCGTACTACAGGAGATAGGTCATCATACTGAAGAGGTTAAGTCATCATACTACAGGAGATAGGTCATCATACTGAAGAGGTTAAGACTTTGTACTACAGGAGATAGGTCATCATGCTGAATAGGTTAAGTCTTCGTACTACAAGAGATAGGTCATCATACTGAAGAGGTTAAGTCATCATACTACTGGAGATAAGTCGTCATACTGAAGAGGTTAAGACTTTGTACTACAGGAAATAGGTCATCATACTGAAGAGGTTAAGTCATCATACTACAGGAGATAGGTCATCATACTGAAGAGGTTAAGTCTTCGTACTACAGGAGATAGGTCATCATACTGAAGAGGTTAAGTCTTCGTACTACAGGAGATAGGTCATCATACTGAAGAGGTTAAGTCATCATACTACAGGAGATAGGTCATCATACCGAAGAGATTAAGTCTTAGTACTACAGGAGATAGGTCATCATACCGAAGAGGTTAAGTCTTCGTACTACAGGAGATAGGTCATCATACTGAAGAGGTTAAGTCTTCATACTACAGGAGATAGGTCATCATACTGAAGAGGTTAAGTCTTCGTACTACAGGAGATAGGTCATCATACTGAAGAGGTTAAGTCATCATACTACAGGAGATAGGTCATCATACTGAAGAGGTTAAGACTTTGTACTACAGGAGATAGGTCATCATGCTGAAGAGGTTAAGTCTTCGTACTACAGGAGATAGGTCATCATACTGAAGAGGTTAAGACTTTGTACTACAGGAGATAGGTCATCATGCTGAAGAGGTTAAGTCTTCGTACTACAGGAGATAGGTCATCATACTGAAGAGGTTAAGTCATCATACTACAGGAGATAGGTCATCATACTGAAGAGGTTAAGACTTTGTACTACAGGAGATAGGTCATCATGCTGAAGAGGTTAAGTCTTCGTACTACAAGAGATAGGTCATCATACTGAAGAGGTTAAGTCATCATACTACAGGAGATAAGTCGTCATACTGAAGAGGTTAAGACTTTGTACTACAGGAGATAGGTCATCATACTGAAGAGGTTAAGTCATCATACTACAGGAGATAGGTCATCATACTGAAGAGGTTAAGACTTTGTACTACAGGAGATAGGTCATCATGCTGAAGAGGTTAAGTTTTCGTACTACAGGAGATAGGTCATCATACTGAAGAGGTTAAGACTTCGTACTACAGGAGATTGGTCATCATACTGAAGAGATAGGATATCATACCAAGGATGTTAAGTCATCGTACTACAGGGATTAAGCCATCCTACAGATGGGGTTAAGTGCTTGTATTCAAGAAGTTAATACATCTTACTGATTGGTAAATTCATAATACCAAAGGGGTTAAGCTCTCATAATGAAGGAGTTAAATAATAGTAATGAAAGGGTTATATTATCATATTGAATGGGGCTAAGTTATCGTTTTCAAGGGGTTAAGAGATTTTCTAAAATGGAAAAGTCATCGTACTGAAGGGGTTCGTTTACCTGAAACTACAGTAGTTTATTGTATTAAACCCACAAGACAAACTGGGACAACATCAAGGCCTAGAGAGGAGAAGGTGAGAACACTGAAAATGTGAGGCAGGTGATGGTAATGAAGAGGAGAGAGAGACAATAATGATGGTGATGACGAGGAGACAGAAATAATAATGGTGATGGTGATGAAGAGGAGAGAGAGACAATAATGATGGTGATGACGAGGAGACAGAAACATAATGATGGTGATGACGAGGAGACAGAAACAATAATGATGGTGATGACGAGGAGACATAAACAATAATGATGGTGATGACGAGGAGACATAAACAATAATGATGGTGATGACGAGGAGACAGAAACAATAATGATGGTAATGACGAGGATAATAATGGTGTGGATGAAAATAATGATGTTAATTATGACGATAATGATAGTGATGATGAGAATAAAGATGGAGATGATGACGACAATGATGTTGATGACGAGGATAATGATGATGATGAAGATAATTAGGGTGGCTATGATGATGATGATGATGATAATGATGATGATGTTGATGATGAAAAGGAAGATAATGATAGTAATGATGGGTACGATGATGGTGACGATGAGGATATAGGTGATGAGGATGAAGATAATGATTAAAAGGATGAGGATAATGATAGTAATGAGGATAATGAAGGAGATGGTGATGATGATAATGAAGATGATGATGATGATGATGAAAAGGAGGATAATGAAATTGATGAGGATAATGATGGTGGATAATAATGGTGATGATGAGGATAATAATGTTGATGATGGAGATATTGATGTTGATGATAAGGATAATGATATATATTTATAAGGAAAATTATCACCAATACGAAAACTTATACCTTTCTTCTTTCAACCAGATATTTCGAAGAATTCTCTGTCCAACGTCAGTGCTAAAGAAATTAACTCATATAAGACCAATTAAGGCTGATAAAATAAACAACAAATATTATTAGGATTTAATACACACTATTATAACACTAACACTTTAATGAGGATAATTAGACAAGAAAATAATAACATAATTACCAAAAATATCAAGAAAATTGTACTAACGACTGTTTAACCATAGATCAAACCACAAAGGCCCACTTACGCATGGCAAAGGGAGAACTGTTGTTTAGGATGGGTTTACCATTAGAAGTATAAAGGGACTGCAGGATTACAAGGCTCGTCCTGGAAGATATAGATGATAGTACTTTTAAATCCTGAATGGTGAAGGCATGGCTACTAGGTGGATGTTGTGTTCGTAATGAAACACCTTTACGGTCACAAATCTTGTGTTGTGACAACTTTATAGTGCAGCCAATATATCTAGTGTTACAGTGAGGACATGTATAACAGTGCACAACGTAACCTAACCTATCTGTAAGGGCGGAAACGATCTTCCTGCTCGTTACCGCTGCTTGCTCTCTCGAAGGCTGGTGCGACCAACACATAGGGGGGTTGGACAGAGGTGAGAACGGCAGCGGCTACCTTTTTTTTTTTTAAGGTGGGGAAAGGATGGAAGGCATGCTGGGAAGGCACAGCCAGACATGAGGGATGGAGATCACAACATATAGTCGTGGGGGAAAGGTTGGAAAAGAAGTTTAATGAGTTAAACAGAAAGGGACGACACCCCTTGTTTTACATATGACAGAGTTTGTTGGCTAACTAAGCTAACCTAG